CATCAGTTAGAGAACCATTGGAAAACCACCAGGGGGTACTAGACAGCTGTTTCGTCCTAGTGTTTGGGACTTTTCATCGGTATGCACCCACCGCCAGGGTTCGAACCCAGGACCTTCTGGTTACAAGGCGAGCTAGCTCGTAGACCATTCAGCCATTGCGACCTGATCAAATGGCCAACCCATGAATTCCAACTTCTGCCAATTCATGTCTCCTTCGATGAGTTACTACCTCACCTTCAACCTTCTGTACCCTAGTGGTCACGGCTTCCCACTAGAACCCACCATGAATTGGCAGAAGTTCGAATTCATGGACTGGCCATTGGGTCGGGTCACAGTGGCTTAATGGTCTACGAGCTAGCTCGCCTTGTAACCAGAAGGTCCTGGGTTCGAACCCCTGTGGTAGGTGCGTACCGATGAAGAGTCCCGAACACTAGGACGAAACAGCAGTCTAGTACTCCCCGGTGGTTTTCCAATGGTTCTCTAACTGATTTCAAGCTCATGATGAAATCCTCCAGTCCAATCAAACAAAATCCCTACAAAACCAATACTTGAAAATATTAACTGACAGTAGGTCGTGTGTGACACAGTTCTATGTGACCTGAAGCGCAAACCCAATCCATTATGATGATATCTTTTCTTTTTCTCCTTCGAGAAATACACAACGACATTTGGTTCAAATGCCAGTTATGAAAAGTTAGGGGTGTATGTTTTGAGAACCAAGGACACAACTGAGGAATAATTATCTCATGCATTGAGATACGTTACCACCCAGGGTCATGCCTCTTTCTCAAGTTTATTAATGAAAACTTGCGAATCACCAGTTTGTAAACATTTTAAATACTCGTCAGAGTAAACAATACTACTAGAGGTCATAATTTAATAGATTTAAACAAACTGAATAAGAGAAATTATAAGCCCAATTTTTAAGCAGGTAGCGGAGCAGTGTCAGCAGCAGCTGCCTTTCCATGTTGTTCAGTGACGAAAAGAGGTTCATACGCTGCCATTGGATCTTGTTGAATTTTGGAGCCCATGTACACTACAAGTTTGGAATCAGGGGGTTCCAGCTTCCCTAGGTAGACTTGCAGGCGAAGTTCAACAATAGCGTCCCAGGAGTGTGAACGCTCCAATGACCTTGAACGCATGCTAGTCGTTGGCTAACGGCACCTGTCATTATCATAACTGAAATATCAACGTTATTCACCAACTAAGAAGCAAATTTCACCCAGATCACGTTTTTAAATACTTTTTGGACAATGTGTTAATAGCTCGTTAGGGTTAGGATTACGGTTAAGGTAAGTATTGGGGTTATGGTTAGGATTAGGGTTAGTTTTACGGTTATGATAAGGGTTGTAATTTGGGTTGGTGTCAGGATTAAGGTTACGATTACGATTAGCGATAGATTTAAAGTTGGTGTCATTTATTTTTATTTGTCTTATTATCCACATTTTCCTGGTAAGTGGTCGTCGATCTCCTTACTGCAAACCATAGTAATTCAGCTGAGGGATTTTGGAGAAGACTGCACAACAGGGTAAGAGAGATAAACGATTCACAAAAACAGCTCGTCTTCAGTCACCTCGGTGAATACCCATGTACAGAAACTAGTCTAACTTAGCAACTGATACTCCTCATTATAACTGGGACGTATTTTTAAGTAATGTATCAGAGAAAGATACCCTGTTTAATGTGTTTTCATGCATTTTCTTGTAAATATACGTCAATTTTTGTGCAAAAATTCCTCATTTTTGTGATTGGTCGGCTCTAGGTCACTCGTGCGTTCGCATCCTTGGCAGAGGCTATAAGAGCGTGATCTGATGAGAGCATTTCGACAGGGCGATGGAAGTCTATCTACCCTCGACCGTACCACGTCGTTTATGAGGCATATATATGCGTATTCAGATTAAGGGAATTCGGGTTAATTCCAGTTGTTAGATTTCCGTCATGAACTAAGATAGATAAGTTAGATAGATCACTGAAAACCTGGGAGCACTGGACAGCTGTTTCTTCCTACTATGAGACTCTTAATCAGTGCGCATCCATTACATTACCGAGCGATTGAACCCGTAACCTTCAGATTACGAGACTAAGCTCATTAACCATTCAGGCACTTGGCCTAGAATCCAATGACCTTGAATTCGGACTCCCGTTAGTTCACGATATAGTGCTGCCGTCACCAAATGCCTCCTTCGGTGAGCTTACTCCTTTTTGTTGCGAGTAGAACATGGGTCTTCAGGCTTAACGGTTTCAGTAGTGGTACCAGTGTTGGTGTTTTTACTAGATGGGGTTACTTCCTTGATGCTCAATCTTCTGTTATTAACTATTATGTAGTAAATGGTACTAGGATTAAGAGTTCACCTAGCGGGGAGTCGAATCTGGACTTCCCGCTTGGTTAGTGTACACACATTCTATCATTGCACTATGGGCGCACTTGCACACAAACATATTATATGTATATATATGCATATAAATGCATGTGTTGTTAATTAAGTAATTCACTTACTACTAGCGTGTGACAATCAGTAATTCCTAATTTATCTGTTTATGGTATATTGCGTAACCAATAGAAGCGATTAAAACAGCATGTGTTCTCTACTTAGTTTGCATATATTGGTTAAATGTAGCAATATATAATCATTATTTCTCTGTAAAGCTCTTCTGCTTTCTTCATATAGTTTTCACACTGTTTTACTTACTCAATATGCAAATTAAATACAGTTCAGTAAGCAAATTATATATATTATTTTATGTATTACTGTATTATATCTGTATGCATGTGTTATGAGATGTCATATTCTGACACAAAGTACACGGAATTGTTTACAGTTTACAATTTATTTAGGATAGTAGGCTATATGCCTGTGTTAATCATTTCGATTTGTTGCACACAGGAAGTCCAATCTCGCCTTGAATGAATCAACGGATGGCGCTGATACGACGTGTTCCGGTAGGAGTTCCAATGGTTCACAATTCGATACGAAAAACGGATCTCCAGACGCAGACGATTCGACCGTGGTTTTTGAACCTTGAGGTGATGTCCTCGCGATTGGTTGGTGCTAGAAGGAAGAAATAAATAAGATAAATTAGCTCCAAAATCATTTCTTAGGATACGGTATGCTAGTATTAGGTCACCCCTAAGTCGTCTGTATGACAGTGGAAATAAACCCAGTCGACTTAACCTCTCCTCATATGAGAGGTTTGAGAAACCCTTTATTAGCTTAGTTCCTACTCTTTGCACCCTTTCTAATAAGTCTATTTCGTATCCCAGTCCAAAGCAGTACTATCTGAAACAGTCAGTAAAATGGAATGTTACTGCAGTAATTATCAACTACTGGAGGGAGAGTGAGTGATTTAGCGTCATTTCCTCGAAGAGTCTCTTCTCGTCAATATATGTTGTCAAGAGTCTTCTGTGAGCAACCTACACTTAGTCACATCTGAGCAAAGGTCAGAAACCGCATGGATTGGAGCTATGTTTTTTGATCTGAACACACATTTAATTCATTTCCAACTTTATCCTACCTCTGTCTTTCTGTAGAGGGGGGCGCGGCTTAGTATGAGTGATTTCATTAAGATTTCCACATCCCTTTCAACTGACTTTCTTTTCACACATCAAATTGTACATTGGATTTCGCCATTATTCATTTTGGTGGTTCCATCACGTATTTATGGTTTTAAAAGTCACCTTTGCCTTATTTTATGTTTCACAGTTTTTTCTATCGTTGGTCTTACTATATGTCAATGGGAGCTAATCGTTGCGAATATTAGCTGGACGGTTCGTTATATCTGCCTTTACTTTAGACTCCATGCAAAGCTGGTCTAACTAGCAATATTCTGTGTTATTCAGATTAGTGAGCAATGAATTGATTTTGTAGTGTTGATTTGTTTGATGTTTGATCATGGATTGATGTCAGTTATACGACCATTGATGATGAGGAAATACTGGAAAAATGTTTCGTCCTAGTTTGGGACTCTTCAGAAGCACAAATCCGACGAAGTTTGAACCTAGAACCTTCCGGTTACAAGGTGGGTTCGTAGACGATTCAGCCACTGAAACGCGATCCAATGGACCATGACTGGCACCAGCCAGTGTCATTGGTGGCGACCTGGTGAACCTCATCGCCAGGGACGACTTGTCACTAGAACTTCAAACAGTCACTCACTAAGTGAGCACCAGATTGATTTTCAAGAGTTAGTTTGTGCACCAGTGTGCCTTGTAACTGGAACGTCTTGAGTTTGAACCCTGGAGGTGGATGTGTACTGATGGCGAATCCCAAACACTAGGGACGAAACAGCCGTCCAGTACTCGCTGGCTGTTTTTCACTGATATTTCTCGAACTTACATCAATCCCTTGATCAAAATTGAAAAATAATAATTTCCATAAAATGAGTCTTTTGAGACCTACACCAAATGGCAAGACGTGTATGACATTGGTTACTTCCCAATGACCATTACAGTCCTACACAGAGGAGGTCAGTTGTAAGCCCGTTTAACTTAGTGGTAATGTGACTGAGTGAAGCAAATGTTGAATTTTAGCGGGTGAGGTAGGGTAGGGGCAGCATCAATCCCTCCAAGGTTGCAGACGCGCCTTGCTAAGCGAGTGCCAACAAGCACGAAACTTAGTTTGAGCCACGGCTTCTTCCTGTTGCCGACTACCCCCTTAACGATCTATTTTTTTAATGAGAAATGAATAAAATGTCTTGTTTTATATATAAATGATTGTCCTTCACCTTTCAGACTGTTGTAAATAGCCTTATTTTTCTTTATTATATATATATATATATATAGCATGGTATTTGTTTGCGTAAACAACCTCTGTTAGCCATCTATATCATCTCATAAATAATGAGTATTATTCATCAGATACACAAAATAATTCTTTAAAAAAACTTTTATTTATTTATTTAAGTCTAATTTATTATTACAGTCAGATTAAGATTGTATCAGTATGACCTCCAACTTTGTTTTCGTATTCTATCTTTTTACAATTCTATTTATATTTGCTTAGAATACAACCAGTAGTGGACCAAGTGTAAAGTCTAAGCCTACTCCACGACGACAGCGATGACGACGTCGACAACCACAGTAAGGAAAAGTTCGGCTACCAATGTAAATGGAATTCCAAAGTCTAATTCTCGTGGTGCCTTATCCTTATCTACAAAATCTTCAACAGTAGTACGTACAACAACTACTCCAGCCACTGCTTCTGCTGCCGCCAAAACAGCGACATCAACAACAACAAAAACAAGAACAAGTACTGTGAATTCAATACGATCAACTGCAGCGTCTAACAAGACTACACGATTATCTGGAACATCAGCTGCAACAGCTGTGGGAGTAGAAAATCGATCTAGTAGTAGTATTAATAATAATAATAATAAAACCAGTTCATTAACACAAAGAAGAAGAATAGACTCAGCGTCGAATCTTACTGTGAATAGTAATACTGCTTCTAGATCGAATTTAACCGATCGATCTAGAGGTAGAATGTCAATTCAAAATAGTACTTCTCGAGGTCAGTTTTGAAAAAAAAAACCCACTTTTATTATCCTTTCTATTGTTTTCTTTTCACATTGTAATGGCTTAGAGGGGAGGTGAGGGTGGTGATATTCCTTCGGTTAAGGAAGGTGTGTAAACTGCCTGGTTGGTGGGGATCCTTGAGGATGCTAAGAACCAATGATTGGAGACTATTGGCGATATGAATCAAAATCGTTTTCTTCATAATCGCCTATATCCATTAAACCGTCACGTTTTTCTATGTGTTACTGCTCTTTTCTCTAATACTACCGCTAGCTTATTAGGATTTAGATCTATAAAGGTGGTTTTGAGTACGTCTTACTCTAAATGAGTAGTGGTTACACCAAAATCACGGAACTCAAACTAGGTAGGTTACTTGCCTGCCTCTTAAAACTTGATCTCCATCAATAATATACTGACCGTTTGAATGATTCTGTTATATAAGTGAATTTCACGCTTGATGTTCATTGGATCCCAAAATCCATTATCTTCTTCACAACGTAAGTCTCAACGAAATCACAAATATTCTGTTTTCTATTGATGAATAGTAACAAGCAGCTATGAAGCCGCTACTCCACCGACTTGATTTCCCCTCCTCCGCCCTCACACTCTGAGAAGAAATAACTAAATGCGTATCTGAGATTGACAGCAAGACTGATCTTGAGTAGGCCTTGTATAATATCCAGTCAGCTGTAGAAACAGTGCTAAAGGCTATTGATAATCTAAAATCAAAAGTTGGTAAATACCAGTGGATTTCTGTCCCCTTTATCCGAACTGAATGATTTAAGAAGACTGATTTGGGTGAGCTTTGAACACAACGAGAAGGAGGAGGAGCGAAAGCTGCTCAAATGCAAGCTAAGCAAAAGTCTCCTCAACGACAGCAAATATTGGTGGGTCACAAAAGCGGAAGAGATAGAAAAAACATCGTTGATAGGTAATACCAGACAGCTATTTAGGCGCATTAGGGAAACAACTTGCAAAAGACAAATGATCGTTTGAGATGGCTAGGACACATGTTGCGCATACCACCGAGCCACCATCGTCCTCATCGAACAATGTTAGCTGACATAGGGTTCGGTTAGAATAGAGCTTTCTCTGACATCAAATGTATCTCCCTGTTATTCGATGTTTTTCTATGCCGATGAACATCTCTTTATACACATATATACTACTGATAAATCTTAACAGTAGCACACTCCACTAAAAACGCCGCCTAGATAAATAAATTCCGGCTTAAGCGGCTGACTGATCAATGGACTTAGTCTCCTAATTTGAAGGTCCTGGATTCAATCCCTGGTCGTGGAGTCGTGGGCACACACTGATGAAGAGTCCTGAATTAGAAAGAAACAGCTGTCCAGTGTTCTCTGATTTTCATTGAATCTCTAACTGATATTGATTGGTGACTAAATTTAAACTGAAACATTACTATTTATTTATTTATTATTTTATTCCTATACGTTCCCAACGGAACACAGGGCTTCAAGCTCGAGCTTTGAAGTTTCAGTAGCAGTGGTATTCATTTTTACGTGGTGGGGTTGCTAACCTCACGCTTAACGATCCCTCTTTCCCAGCATTACTACCGGCTTAGCGAGTTTCAGGAGTAGTGCCTCGTCGGCTGGGGATCGAACTCCGGACTACGTGTGTTGGCGTGGTTGGCGAGCATTCTACCGCTAAACCACTGACTCCCATTGCCTTTCTTATCCAAACTTCCTGTTTATTCATGTTATTTTTAAGTTTTTCTTAATCCCTCTTTACACTACCATATTTTCATATCTGAACTTCCTGTCTATTTTGTCATTTTATTATTTCTACATATTTAATCCCTAACTGCATAAACAGTTATTCGTCACATTAGTTATGATCCTACTGGATATTTTTATCCAAACATCCTGTCTATTTTTGTTATTTCTACATTTCTGACCCCCAATTGCACAATCAATGTCAATCTTCTCAGTAATTATGATGCTACTTTGTTTGAGTTTTATTTGTGCCCCCTGTTTCTTACGGCATTTTACTTTCCTAATTGTAATTTTATCAATTTTAACCTTAACCGGAAATTATTCTGGAACTTTCTCATCCATTTTTTATAAGTACACGAATGTACAGCCTAGTTGACGCTGACTTCGTCGATAAGGGAATTTTCTTCGCTGCAACCGTCTTTTTAATAATTCCTATGATCCAATGTGTACATAGATAGGACTCCAGGTGAACATAGAGAAAACGGAGGTGATGAAGATTCCTGGCCAACACCAACAGCCACAGCAACAACAACAGACAGCAATCAGCATAAATGGAAGGAACCTGAAAGAAACAACCTCTTTTACCTACCTTGGAAGCATCGTTTCAACTACAGGCAGAGGGAACTGACGAGGATATCAAAGTGAGGATCGGAAAAGCAAGACAGGCTTTCACTACTCTCAAGTCTGTGTCTACGAGGTTAACAGCACTCGGCATCAAAAATAAGATCCGGATTTTCAACTCCAATGTGAAGCCAGTCAGTGCTACTATACGGATCAGAGACTTGGCTGGTGCGTCATAAAGAGCATCTCAAACAAACTACAAACCTTCATTAACGGTTGTCTTCGCTCAATACCACTCAAGATCAGATGACCGGCCAGAAGAGATCAGCAACAGAGATCTCTTGTAGCGAACCAACCAGGAACCAATTGTGAAACAAATAGGCAGGAAGAAATGGAGGTGGAGGTGGAGGCCATACTCTGAGGAAACCATCAAGTGACATCACTAGACAAGCCATTGTTTGAGTGGAACCCGAAAGGGAAGCGACGAGTTGGTCGTCCAAGGGTGACCTGGAGGAGATCATGTGAAGAAGAATTGAAAGCGTATGGGCAGACTTGGAGCCAGGTGAAAACTCTAGCAGAGAACGGAACGCAATGGAGACGCATGGCTGAAGCCCTATGTTCCTCTAGGAACTAAAGGAAATAATAATAATAATGTGTACATATCTTTTTATTCATTTTTCACTTTACCCGACTAGCACAAATTACATTCTACAATTTATAATCTATATTATCTAGTCTAATAGTGTTAGAGAAATATGTCTGTGTGTGTACTTTTGCTTAGATATAATTGAATTACTCTACTCTCTACTCATGGTACAGTTGGTTAGTCTGTTATACAATACCTCTGTAGAATGACTAATATATAATAACTACCTTCATATTGTGTGTATTCACTTACAATTAGTTTAGATTTTATTGACTTGAAAATTTCGCTTTTCTTTGTGTTTTTAAGTTCACCTACAACTATGTGGTATATGCGTTTGTGTATGTGTGTGTGTCTGTGTGTATCTAAGCAACGTAATTCACACATAAGTGAAGTTAACTAGTTACATGTTATGTAATCGAAATTCTTTTCACAACCTGAAAGACAGACATTTGTTACTAATCAAACGGAAATAGTTTATAACTGTCTCCCTTCTACCTTGAGGTAGGTATATGGCTAAAAATGAGACTGTTTTGTATAGTGAAGAGTGCAATTAGTCCTTTTATTACATTGGTTTCATTTCAGGATACACACATACACCAGTTTACAAATTACACACAGTTAAACCTTTGATTGGACACTACTAGTAACTAGTGTGACGTGTCTAGTCCTTTTTTTGTTTGGTGCAGACTGAATTCTATCAGTCAGTTAGGTTTGCAATGTGGCCACCATTTCACTAAGTAGCTCGCCCTTCACGGTGCACATTGATTTGATGATATATTAGATAGTTGGAGGCCATCGGCCACAGGAAGCCTAAACACGTCACACTAGTTACTAGTGTCCAATCAAACTACCCACTACAGTCCTACAGGAGGTCAATTGCGAGCCCGAATAACTCCTCAGTGGTAACGTCTCTGACTGCAGCTCTCACTGGGTGACGCAGGTTAGAATCTCAGAAGGGACGTGAGTAAGTTCCTTCAAGGTGGTTGCAGATACGCCTCTCTGACTGACTGGTGTGAGTGCCAACTAGCACGAAACCTAGGTGCAGCCAAGGCTTCCTGTGGCCAATTGCCTCCAACTATCTAACAGGGAAACGTTGTTGTGTTGTGTTTTTTGTTTTTAGAATAACAAGATTTTTTAAAGTTGTAAACTAAATAACATTTTCTAAATCACTTTGGTGTTTGTTTGTTTGTTTGCACTTGTCGGCCAGACATATCTGCAACAGTGAAGCGATTGATGTCTCCTTTGCGACTCGAACCTGTAGAAGTCAAAGATATTACCATTGAGTTATCTGGACTCATGATTGACCTCTTGTGGGATTATGGTGGATTTATACACTGATTGATTATTGGGAAATGACCTGTATTATCCTTTTAGTCCTTAGTGTTGTTGCTGATCTCAGTTGCGTCAGGGGTTAGATATACACCTTACTGACCAGTGCCAACAACTGTGAAGCCTTGGTTCAGCGCTTCCTGCTGATCGTCTCGAACTGTCTAACATCAATTCAGAGTCAACGGTGATGGAGATTCATCTGACCGACAGTGATTTATTCAGCCCAAACACCGAAGAATAGTTACATGACACAGTGGTAAACAATGTATATATATATATATATATATATATATATATATATAAGGTTTTCGCACCAATCACTGTCGGTGGAATAAATCTAAAATAGGTCATCGCTTCACCTACAGGCGTGCTCTCTGAATGTCGAAACCAGAATCGCAAAGGCAAGACAGCTCTTCATCACTCATCCCTGAAATATGGAAAATAATACTACCAATCCAATCAAGTGAAAAACAATGGAACTATATAAATGAATTTAGGAAGTCGTGTGATTAACTTGATATGATTATGAGCAATAAATTGTGCTCGAAACGTCATCAGTAAATATTACTGTATAACACTGTGAGACTCTATCAAAATAAAATTTACCCATAATGGAATTACACTCTACCACAGTGCCCAAGTTTTATTCTTATATCAAAGACAGCTCTTCATCACTCTGAAGTCAGTTTGGCAATCTTCTGCCCTCGGCACATAGAACAAAATTCGGATTTTCAACACCGATTTTAAACCTGTCAATTCTCTTATAGATACATAGGTCAGAAGCTTGGCACCAGCGTGTCACGAAAAGCATTTCCAACACTCAGCTGCAGACTTTTTGACAACATCTGCCGGATAGAAAGAATTAACAACAAGGGACTCTGACAATGAGCTAACCAATGAACCTATTGTTGTACAAATATGCTGAAGAAACATGCTGAGGAGATCGACCGTTGGGTGAAATCGCGCGCCCCCAGGCAATCGCTCAAGTTGGAACCCAAATGGGAAACTACGAGTTGGACGTGTGTCTGAGGATGATATGGAAGAGATCGTATGAGGAGGAGATGAGACCCTATGGGTAATTGTGAGGCTGGCTAAAGAGGACTGCAGAGAGTAGGACAAAGAGATGTTTTCTTGAAACCTTATGTTCCACTTGGAACCCAACGGAATCCTACTACTGTGGTGAGAGCTGGCTGCTAGCCAAAAATTGGTAGACAGTAATTTACGTCAATGTTTACGTCCCCAATATTGGTCGTGAGAAAAATAAGAACAAAGACTGACTCAACAACCAATCACAGCAGACTTTGCGTAGGCGGATACAATTTGCAGATAGATAATCTGAACTTCAATAAACGACCACAAAAAGATGAAAGATTAGTGGTCAGCGAGAAACCACCAATCAGAAGACTGTGTTTGTTTGCTTACAATAATCTATAATAATGTACATGAAAATCTATAATTATCTGTTGATTTCCTAAATAAACGATTTGTTGCCTGGCCCTTGTCTTCCGTCGTTACACTACTACAGCTAATAATAATAATAATAACAGAGATACACATGAAATCACAATGACAATAATCCCTTAATTATCAAGGTAGCATATAACTGTAGAAATTGGAGTCGGGAAAGTTGTCGTAAAGAATATTCTTTGTTCACTAATCAGCATTTTAAAATTTTTTATAGTTTATTATCACTCTGAACTCAATTTTTTAACTATCCATGTGTATTTTTTGTTTCCCTAATATTCCCGAACAAATGTTATCCAGAACCACTATCAACACAACAGACAAGTAGAACAAATACCAGGCCACCATTTTCAGCTGGTGGACGTCGTATTTCAACCGGTGCTACATCCTTAGCCAGTCAGAATACAGCTCCAAGTCAGTTGCAACGATCTAAACTATCATCACCACCGACTCGTGGTTCAGTGCCGCCAGCGACAAGTACAGGTTTGACAAGTTCTCGTTCCTACCTGCGTGGAGCATCATCTGCAACTAGACAAGGTAAGGTGTGGGTGGAGTTTTGTTTTTCTACTGTTTGCCTTTTGAGAAAACATAAGTCATTCCACCAACCTTTCTCTTTTTAAAGCTGTACAGTTGTGCAGAGGTTTATGCATGCAATTTTAACTGGTTATAAAGGTCACATGTTATTGTCAGTTAGTAATAAAATAAGTGAAAATGCATGAGAAATAACAATGTGTGAAAAATAGTGAATAATCTTACGTAATCATCGAGAGAGAGAGAGTTTACGAGTAACTAGTTAGCCGATGATGAATTGATTATTATTATTATTCCCTTGGGTTCCGAGTGGTACATAGGGATAGCTTCAATAACACATCTCCACTTTCTTCTTTTTTCTATACTCCTCTTCAGATGGCTAGCTCCACGATTCCCCATAATCACTCATCTCCTCCTCCCCCTCCTCCTGCTCTTCTATGCCACCCTCGTAGTGGCAACCCAGTCATCGCCTCCCATTGAGATTCCACTAGAGCAATGGCCTGCATTGTGCGGAATTCCATTCGACGGCCTCGTCAACGTATGCCCGATCAATCCATCTCCATTTTCCGCTGCATATTTGTTCGACAATAGGCTCTAGATTGTTGGTTTGTTCTCAGCCAGAGTTTCTGTTTGCTAATACTTTCTGGCCGGCTGGCCATTTGATCTTCAGTATGGAGCCAGCCACCGAAGTGGGCGGTTGTTGATAAAAGTCTGCTGTAGTTTGTTGGAAATGTTTTACGTGATACGCACTGCAAGTTTCTGACCCATATAAAAAAAGTGACTGACTTCTTGACATCTTCATCCGTTCCGCTGACATATGCTTGAAACCGTGCTTCCTAGCCAGATAAGTGAAGGAAGTTTTGTTGTTGCTGTTCGTTGGTTAGCTTGTTATCTTCATCACTTCCGTCTTCTCTGCGTTCAGCTGAAATCTATCCTGTCTTCGCTGCCTGCCAGCCTCTTCAGCCAGTTTGTTGGTTTTCGCATGCAAGTCTTCGAGTTTGTGTGAGTGACATTAAACATAAATCATCCACGTACGAAATTCAGATCTTCTAGAATCTTCTTATCGGTCAATGCAGCGTATTGCTGTCTTCTCAATCCCCATGCATAGTCTTCCGCATAATTCAGTTCACCACAATTAAGAATATCATCTTCGGTGATAATAGGCAGACAGCCTTGTCTTACTCCTCTGTTCACTTTGAACGCCTCGGGGAATGATGAATGAATAGTCATTTGAAAATGAGTTGCAAAAATAAAATGAACTATGTGAAGTTTATTTTACAACTATTCAAGTCAGAGTAGAAAAAAAGGTCTGGAAAGAACGTTCCTGAATATAAAGTTGAGGTTTTCCTTTATGGATTGCTAAAGCTTTGGCTGCATAAAGAAGATGTAGACGAAATCATTTTGAAGAGTTATTTCTACTTGTTTCAAGTTTGACCAGGGATTGATGTCAGTTATAGAAAGCTATTGAAAACCAACCATGGAGTACTGAACAGTTATTTCGTTGTAGTCTGAGGCTCTTCACCAGTACGCATCCACTAGGGTTTGAATCCAGGACCTCCCGATTTCAAGGCAACCTCGTAAATCATTCAACCAGTGAGAACCAACTCAATGGCCAGCCCATGAATTTTAACTTCTACCAATTTGTGATTCTTAGCACAACCACCAATCAATATCACCACTGGAGAGTATTTGTCCTCACACCCGACCTGGTGGACCCTATTGCCGGGGACGACATCTCACTAGGTGCGTCGGTGGCACAGCGGTAGAATGCTCGCCGACCACGCATACGGTCCGGGGTTCGATCCCCAGCCACAGACGCACTCCTCTACCTCGCTAAGCCAATAGTAAGACTGGTACAGTGAGAAGGTTGGGCATAAGGCTAGCAACCACATCCCGTAAAAATAATCAACACTGCTACAGAAACTTGAAGCCTCTAGCTTGAAGGTGCCCTATGTCCCACTGGGAACGTGAAGGAGTGAACAAAATCTTCTCACTAGAACTTCAAACAACTTCGCGTTATGCAGCCAGTCACTCATTAGTGAGCATCAGATTAATTTTCAAGAACTACTTTGTAAGTATTTGATTTGTTTCAAGTTTGACTACACATTCATATAAGTTAGTGAACCATAGAAAACCAACCGGATAGCTGTTTCGTCCGTGTTTGTTACTCATCTGCAGTACGCACCCATCGGGATTTGACTAAATTGACATTTATTCGCTTTAACTCACCACCATATATATAGCTTTTACTCTTAACGGATAGATGCAACACGTAACCGATAGCGATTGTAGCCTATTGGAATTTATGAGGTAGACATGAACTCTAGGATTACGTTCTCTTATTTTATGCCAATATTTTGATGATATTAGATGGTTGGAGGCAATCGGCCACAGGAAGCCTTGGACCTAGGTTTCGTACTAGTTGGCACTCACTGGTCAGAAAGGCGTATCTGCAACTTTGAAGGAACTTACTCATGTCCCTTCTGAGATTCGAACCCGTGTCACCCAGTGAGAGCTGCAGTCAGAGACATTACCACTGAGGAGCTATTCGGGCCCGCGATTGACTCATCTAGTGCCAACTAGCACGAAACCTAGGTGCATCCAAGGATTCCTGTGGCCGATCGCCTTCAAGCATCTAATATCATCAAATCAATATGCAACGTGATGGCGAGCTACCTAGAATGATGGCCACATTGCAAATCTAACTGACCGATAGAATTCAGTCTACACCAAAGGGAGGAGTAGACACATCACACTAGTTACTAGTGTCAAATGAAAATAAGCCGATATTTTACAATTCCTTTATATTTTTATCATCTTTTTATTAATGGTCTTTTCCCTTTTGAACGGCTTGATTGTATATATATATATATATAAATATATTATTATTATTATTATTTCCTTTAATTCCTAGAGGAACATAGGGCTTCAGCCATGCGTCTCCATTGCGTTCGGTTTTCTGCTGTAGTTTTCACCTGGCTCCAAGTCTGCCCACACGCTTTCAATTCCTCTTCACATGATCTCCTCCAGGTCACCCTTGGACGACCAACTCGTCGCTTCCCTTTCGGGTTCCACTCGATGGCTTGTCTAGTGATGTCACTTGCTGGTTTCCTCAGAGTGTGTCCAATCCATCTCCATTTCTTCCTGCCTATTTGTTTCACGATCGGTTCCTGGTTGGTTCGCTCCCAGAGATCTTTGTTGCTGATCCTCTCCGGCCATTTGATCTTGAGTATTGAGCGAAGGCATTTGTTAATGAAGGTCTGTAGCTTGTTTGAGCTGCTCTTTGTGACACGCCAAGTCTCTGATCCGTATAGTAGTACTGACTTCACATTGGAGTTGAAAATACGGATCTTATTTTTGACGCTGAATGCTGTTGACCTCCACATAGACCTGAGAGAAATGAAAACTTGTCTTGCTTTTCCGATTCTGGCTTTGATATCCTCGTCAGTTCCTCCTGTAGTTGAGACGATGCTTCCCAGGTAGGTGAAAGAAGTTGTTTCCTTCAGGTTCCTCCCATTTATGCTGATTGTTGTCGGTTGTTGCTGTTGATGTTGGCCAGGAATCTTCATTACCTCTGTTTTGTCTATGTTCACTTGAAGTCCTATCTTTGCTGCTTCTTCTGCCAATTTGTTGCTTTTCACTTGCATATCTTCCAGTTTGTGGGAAATCAGACATATATCATCGGCGAAATCCAAATCCTCCAAGGCTTTTGTGTCGGTCCATTTTATGCCTGTTCCCTCGTTGGTTGCCGTTGTCTGCCGCATTATCCAATCTACTGCAATCAGGAAGATCATTGGTGACAGTAGACAGCCTTGTCTCACTCCCGTCCTCACTTCGAAGGATTCCGTGAGCCTCCCGTTGTGGATTACTTGGCATGCAGCGTTGTCATACAGCTGTTGGATGAGATGAATAATTGTCGGCGGCACCCCGTAGTAGCGAAGTAGTTGCCAAATCACCTCTCGATCGACGCTGTCGAAGGCTTTCTCAAAATCGATGAAGTTGAGATAGAGAGGTGACTGCCATTCCAAACTTTGTTCAATGATAATCCGTAGGGTGGCGATTTGGTCAATGCATGACTTGTTCCTCCTGAATCCGGCCTGTTCCGGACGAAGTTTTTCATCTAGGGCTTGTTTAATTCTCTCCAGGATGATGCGACATAGTATCTTGCTTGGAATGGACAGAAGCATAATTCCACGCCAGTTTTTACATTGACTCAAATCTCCTTTCTTTGGCAGTTTGAATAGGTATCCGTTCTTCCAATCCTCGGGTACTTTGCCCTCTTTCCACACCTTCTCTAGTAGTGGCGTCATCAAGTCCGCTGTTGTCTCTGGGTCTATTTTCAAAGCTTCTGCTGGGATTCCATCTGGTCCTGGCGCTTTCCCAGCTTTTAGCATCTTGATGGCATTCAGGACTTCGGATTTCGTCGGAGGGTCGATGTTCATTGGTAGTTCTGCTTCCGTTGTTGGTATTGTTGGACGCGTTGTAGGTGGCGGACGATTTAGAAGTCTTTTGAAGTGTTCAGCCCAGTGCTTCCTCTGTTCCACCTCTTTGGTGATTGACTTTCCATTGTCGTCCTTTATTGGCTTAATCTGTGTCGAACTTTTGCCCGAAAGGTGCCTAGTTGTTTGGTATAGTGTAGCGAGGTCTATATATATATATATATATATATATAATATATATAATATTATATATATATATATATATAAACATAAACACTTACCAGAATATCTACCGAAAAAAAGAACGCAGAACATTCAGCAGGTCAATTCTGGAATACATTATTACTTCTGTTTACACTACATCATCAGAGACTTCATTTACATATATATATATATATATATATATATATATATATATGTAAATGAAGTCTCTGATGATGTAGTGTAACCAGAAGTAATAATGTACTCCAGAATTGACCTGCTGACTGTTCTGCGTTCTTTTTTTCGGTAGATATTCTGGTAAGTGTTTATGGGCCCCTGCCTTATTTTCATATTCTGTAGGTCCCC